GATGATAAAGTTGAATAAAAATCTAAGTCTGATGAAGGTAAATTAAATATCTGACAGTGATCATTACACAGTGTGGCTCTAATTCCTCACTTCACCYTCTGTGTCYCAGTTTCCCGTCTCCAAAATGAGCGTACGCATGGGTCAYAGCTGGCTGAGGGACCACACATTTTCACATCAAGTTTGAATTTTAGAAATCACAACCTTGGCGTAAAAAGTGGTGTACGCAKGTTTCTGGGCTCAAATTGTGTGTATACCAGTTTTATAAATCCGACCCCTGGAGAGTCATGAAGACCCAGCGGGGGCTCCCTCTCTTTCTGTCTCTCCTGCTCCAGAGTCAGATTCCTACGTTAGCTGCCAGTAATTTCCTCTGGTCTGGCAAAGACAGAAAACACGTGAGAACTCCGATGTATTGTGATACGTTTAAAGCCTTGGAGCCGAACCTGCCGGGCTACTTGCTGGATCAACAGAGTACAGGAAGTGGAAAACATTTCAAGATGCTTAAAAAAATTATTTTAGCTGCGATGATGTCTGACTAAAGCTGGACTCATTTAACTTTTGAATTTTGCTAATTTGGTTTTCAGGACACGTCAGGATCAGCAGTGAAGCTGAGAAACCACTCAGAACCAGTTAACAGGAGGATTTGTCACAATGTGAGGATGATTCAGGCACTGGCATAAAAAAAACTAAATATGCCGTTACATAACCCTGGAAGTATTTGCAGGAGTCTGTGACGATCAACATGGGAAGTGTGTCGGTGAAATCCCGACACCACGCTCCGCAGAACTGGGTCACGTTAGATGTTTTGTAGTCGGAGTGTATTTTGTTTGGAACAGAGGTATGTCTTTTATTAGATTTAGTCCTCACCTGCGTGTTTTCTTTCTGTTTGCGACGGTGTGATTATGTGTTTGTGTTCGTACGACATGAAAGCGTCGCCTCAAGGTTTTTCTGTGACTCATGTTTGGCMTTTTACCCAGATGTGTTGTTAAACCTCACACTAACTGTTCACACGCCTCTTCTTAGCTTTCACCWTTACTTAGATGTGAATATATTACTTTGATACTCAGTTCGGTGTCTCGTATTCTGCCTGTCAGTCCAGGGTTTTACTGGGTTTAATGAGCAGTAACACTGTTTTTCGTGGTCAGAGTTAAAGTAGTGTTCATATAAACCGGCATGCTTGGAGGTAGATACTTGTTTTTCTTGTTGTTTGGTTTTAGTTTTGTCAGTTGAAAATGCACAAAGATGAAGATTTGATTGAAAAGGMAGAGGGAGAACYCTCTGATTGCACAGCTGCTATTAGYAAACGAGTCATTTTAAATTMYATYAAGCCACAGTGTCACTGGGCTGTGATTGCTTTTCAGTTTTATATCAGTCGTCTTGACTCGGTCTCAAACACTTCTTAATTTGTAGAAGTTTTAGGAAAACAAAATGATCTCAAACCCTTCTTAAAATGATCAAATGTGTCTTGAATCAGTCTCAAACACTTGTCAGTTTTGTTGCAGGTGTGTAAAAACTCTTGAACCTTTCTTAATTTTGTTGTGGGTGACGTCTCAAACCCTTCCCAGTTTTTGCAGGGTGTCTAGAGCCACTTTGAACCCTTCTCCATTTGGTCAAAAGTGTCTTGAATCAGTCTCAAACTTTTCCCAGCTTTGTTCCAGTTATTTCAAATCTACCTTGAACCCTTCTTTGTTGGCATCTCAAACCTTTAGTTTCTGAGCTGTATTTTGAGCTGTGTGGAGCTCTTCTTTGAAAGAAAACGTGAAGTTAAAGGCCTAAATATGCTGGTTTAAAGACCACATCRATAAGTAACAATTGTTAAACCCAGGTCGTTAAAATCTGCGATTTATTTTGGAAAATATATGAAACCTGTGATGAAAATATTACCTGTTGTGGGAAAATCCCAAACCTGAAAATCAGAGGCGTAACAGATGCTTTTTTATTTTTATCTTGTGTTTTTCTTACAGTTTACTCTGAAATATRTGAAGATTAGTTAAAATATGCAAATGAAAAGAACTGAAGATTTTTTTGTTTAGTTTTGTTTTGGTTGTAACATCGGTTCTGGTGGTGACATGCTGAGTCGTCTCCAGAGGTCTATTGCACAAAACTAGGATAAGGGATTAATTTCTTTTCATTAAAATATTACAGAGTAAATATATTTATTTAATTTATTTATCTGATTATCCATGAAAAAGAATAATAAAAAGACTTAACCTCAGCTTCACCTTTAAAGTACATGCCAAACCTTCCCCTCCACCTCCACCACTTCCACGGCACCACCCCCCTCCCGTCTCCCCCAACACACACGCACTGAGCCCCCCCCAGCGCTTCGGCTTCCAGCCCTCCAGCCTCACCCCTCCCGCTGCCCAGCCCCCCGTCCCCCTGTCCCTCGACCCTTCATACACGGATCACTTTAAGTGAGCGATCAGCTGTTCATTTTAATTTTGTTTAGTTAGTTAATCTCAGATAACTTACAGACAGATTCAGTGGCACAAAAAGTTTTTACTTTTGAAATAATTTCAGCATCAGTCGGTGTTTCTCTTCATCTCTTCATATGAATCATAATTAACCCTTACACTGCTGGAAGTGAGACTCACGTGTCTTACTGCCCATGCCTGATCAGGAAATCTTTGATCCACCCRGTGGGTCTAGTAAACAAATCGTGAACGTGCATTAATCCCAGATTATTTYCAGCTAGTTTGAATGAACCTCCCTAATTGAGCGTGGCTTGGTGTTGGAGCAACTGATTYCAGCTGTTTACAAGTTGAAGGCTAGTTCAAGCTCGGCTTACAGCTCAAATCCTGAATTTAGAAATCTGACCTTTGTGCAATAGGGCTCTGTTGGGCACTTTATTTTTTCTGTCATTGTTTGTTTTGAAGGGGTTCAAAATTAGAGACAGGCATTTTCTCCTAAAAGAGTTTTTGAATTTTTTGGTAAAGGTTTGATTTTTATTTGAAAATAAATAAATAAATAAAACCTCTAATAAAACAGTTTTATATTCTTTTATTTTCTCTTTGTTTAGTGGTTCAATGAGAAGGTGGACGCCCTGTCCTTTCAAAATAAAKTACCATGGCAGAAACAGACCTGTGTTTTGGTTAAAATGATTTGTTTTCCTTGAGGCTCATTACAAAAGCTCATGAGCAACAAAGGTGTGTGTTTGATTTGATGAAGAGTTGGTTGTTATTAAAAGAGAAACTTATCTTCTCAGCGGAACACAGCTTAAAGCTCGTTAGCATTCGGCTGATATAGGTTTTCAGTGTTTCGGAGATGGAACAAGAGCAGTTTGTCATTTCAGGACTGAAGTGTTTCTTTTCTGGGGAACTCTCAGCAGGAGTGGAACCACTCCAGCGCTGCTGTCACCTTGCAGGTTTGATTAGTGATTATAATGCAGCTGTGGATTCCTCACATGAGGGGAATAAAGAGATGTCTCCGGTCGCCGTTAGAAGCTGTTCTCTTCTCCTCSGCTCTTTCAGTCCTGAGCAGACGACACACGCAGGCAGGTTCTTTCCAGACGCTTCATGTTCTGAATTTTAAATTTCCTTGTCTGCCCCCCTCCCCCTCCCCCACTTCACCCTCCAGGTTGATGTTTCCTCGCCGGGCACCCGCAGGGTRGCTTTCAAGCCTGGCCGCCTCTGCCTCGCTCCCCCTGTCGGCCTCCTGACTGATCCCCTCCAGCTCGGTTAGAGAGTCTCTGCAGGACCGCATTGCCATGGATACCGAGTCCAACTACTCGGGCTATTCCCACTACTCCGGGCGCTCCCGGGGATCCCACCGGCACGGGTAAGACTAAAGACCACTCATTAATTATTTATCTGTGTGTCTAGTCAGTGAATTGTTTGATGGAAAAAACATTTCTTTTTCTACAAGTTACTGAATAAAAAACAGGTTCTCTTACTAAACGTTAACATATTTATAATATTCACCCATTTTGTAAGTGTCTTTTTGTAGAAAAATGTGCCTTAAAGACCGTATAAAGTAAAATTAAATTTGTGTTTTGAGTTTGTCACACGACAGAAATATGTTGTTAATCACACCTCTAAAGTTGACTGATTAAAAGCATTGTTTACTTTATAAGATTAAGTCTCAAAAATAATGAAAAAACATCATTGGCTCTGTTCTGAAAACGCTGGGGGCGTGTCAGCTGGAGGACCTGAAACCACGCCCATGCGCTGAGCGTCACTGTGTCCGTGTCCTGTACTGAGGAGGAGATGTTCATGAAGGCTGGCAGCCTGTTGGAGTTCTCCAGCCCTACTCATTCGTCGGGCGCATTTCCTCCGGGCAGTGCGCCGCGTCTGGCTCTGGGTCGGCAAGGAAGGGCTCGGGGGCGAAGGAGACCGCGAGCTTTACAGCACCCTCTCCGCTCCGACCTCGCCGCTTCCCGGGGCCGTGGACTCAGTGCCTCACTGCGCCCTCTCTCCCCGCGGGCGAGGGACGGGGCCCCTCTGCCCCCGGCGCGACTGTCGACCGGAGCGGACTGTTCTCAATGCGCCCTGACCGTGTACGACCCGTCTTGAAACACGGACCAAGGAGTCTAACARGTGCGCAAGTCAGAGGGTCCCCCGAAACCCGAATTATGCACTAAAGAGCCAACACTTAGACTATTAACTATATGAGCACAAACAGCAACTTACTACGTTTATTGGGTGAGGCATTATCCCACTGTCAGGTGTAGGAGAGGTGGTGATGTCGGGAGGAGAGTCTGGGAGGTCGGAGGTCGGTAGAGCCTCATGAACCAGCACCAAATGACTGTCCATAAATCCCAACTGTGTCTCCAGGTGGTTAGTAAAACTATCTGGAGCAAAATGGGAATTATTTAGCTAACAACAACAACAACAAAATATCTATGCTATTGCTATCTGATGCTATCTGCGATTAGCAAGTGAACTGCAACGGCCGAGGCGAAGAAGTTTTTATACTGCTGGAGCAGTAGGGGGCGGGGTTAAGCCGGGGTTATGTTTAAGGCGGCCGCGTGATGAAACACAGCCGCCTTTTAAAGCATGCCCAGAAAATCCTGAAACAAACATATCTTTAAACACAAATTGATCTATACCTTCAAAATTAAAGTATCTACAGTTGAGACTTTTTACTCATTTACAACAATGCAACTGCGACATTTATGTTTATTGAAGAAAATATTAAAATTTACTTTACACTGTCTTTAAAGGAATTCTGAGTCAGAAGTTGCAGTTTGCTGTTAAATAGTTTTATTTTTATTTACACTTTGTTTAAATACTGATTTGGATTGAATGAATTGGATTTTTGTAGAGAAAACTATTGAAATTTTTCCTGAATAATAATAAAAAACCTAATTAGCCAAAATTTCCAAACACCCAACACAGTGGTACAAAGAACGAAAAGTTTAATCAAAAACACAATTAAAATGTTCATATTATTATTCAGTTATTATTTAAAATCATAATAAATACAGCCAGGGAAATTTTAATGTTTCTGAAAATGACTTTACTAAGTTGTACTGAAGAAACTGAATCTGAGTTGTTAAAGCTAAAAAAGTAGAACATTAGCTAAAATCCAAAAGTAACAAAATGCTGGATGAAAGCTAATAGTAGTAAAAATCTGCCGTAGAAAGAGACTAGCATTAATTGGAAAAAAACCTCAAAAGCTAAGAAATTATAAAATGTACACTACAAGCTTAAATTGCAGAAGCTATCTGCAAGCTAAAAAATGCTAAAGGTCATCTAGATGCTAAAAGTAAAAATTAATTAGCTAACTGCTCAAGTAACAGAAGTGGAACTAAAGGCTAGCAAAAAATATTAAAACACTAACCGTAACAAAGTTGCAAACTATTTTGCTACAATCTTAAAGCAGGAAGAAGCTAGATAGAAGTATCAAAGGATATCTAGAAGCTAATAATAATGAATCTCTGGCCAAATGAATGGATGAATAAATGAATGATTTTTTTTTTTGCTAAAAATAGCTAAACTTAAGCTAAGAACTAAATGTTAAAAATGGCTGGCATAAAAAAACAAAAATCTAACCAAAAGCTTAAGTGTTTAAGGCTATCTAAAGGCTAAAAGTAGAAAAGCTCCAGCAACTGCCTGATAACACCATTCTAGACATTCCTCGCAGCTCAAATGATTTACAGACCCGGCACTTCTCTGCACCTCTCACTCCACTTTTTATTTCTGAAAAACATTGTGAGTGGAGTTCATGCTTCGTTGTTGTCAGCAGAACCCCAGCCTGTTCTGTTCCCCGCTGTGGACCTGGCCTGAGGAGAACCTCCAGATCATGGCGGTGCTTTAATCTGTCAGTGGTGAAACAGWTCAGGTGGAGGAGCTTCAGGAGACAGACAGGTGCTGGAGGGCCTGACAGGAGATGAAGATTCTGTCATCTCTCTGTCTCCTGGGTCACTCTCCGTCGACTCGTTCAGCATCGCTGAGTTTCCCCCGAGCCTCTCCTGCTCCCGCCACCACCTGTTGCTGTTTTGAGGACCTCTCGTGTTATCGACTCTGTTCTGTCGCCATCCTAGACTCTTTGCCTTCATTATCTTTCTCCCCTCCTCTTCATCCTCCTCATCTGATTCCATGTGGGGGGCTGTGGTACGAAGGCAGCAGCTGCTCCCCCCCTCAAATGGACCTCTCACTGCACTCCGATGGAGAGGCATGCCACTTGCATTCCTCAAAGGCCTTGTTGCTAAAAGCCACACTGGGCGAAAAGGGCTTAACGGACCTCAGAAGGGGAGGGGTTTGCTCGTGAGGTCTCCTCACTGCWGCTTGAAGTAGGGCTGAGCGATATGGCCTAAAATCAATATCACGATATATTGATCAGTTTACCTCGATAATGATAAATGCACGATAACTTTTACCACCTCCCACCACACACAAGTACATGCTATAGTATAGTCATAACACTGTGTCCATGTTCTTAGTCGGAGTGCACAGTTAAGATTTTGAACAGTTTTTCTCTAGTTTATATTTGTCATTTTAGTGTTTTTAATATATTTATTGAAAACATTTTTTTTCAAGACTTGAGTCAGATATAGTCATACATATATTTAACCATCTCCATAACTTTTCAGTCAAACACATTATGTATGTACTCTAATTTTATATTTAAAAAAATATACCAAATGTGTCTTTTGTTCTGCACAAAATAACTTAAATACATTTTTTTATTTGTTAGACTGACTGATTTCTCTATTAAAATAACTGTCTCTTTTAACAAGATTATATTATTTAGAGAGCTCATTTAATCATTTAATACTATTTATCTTCATATTTGATCATTTCTTGAATCACAGAGCAGTTCAGTCACAGTATGGTTCAAAATATAAGCAAGATCTTTTGTGAAGAATGAAATTTGTACTTATGATAAACTACATTGCAGGGTTTTTATTTACTTTTMGGGGGGGTAACGCTAAGTGGAGACTCGACTTTTCTATAATATGGGACAAACAAATGTTCATCTGTTAGAGTTAATATTTCTGATGCATCTCAGTAATCCAGGTAAAAAATCAAAAGAAAAAAATTGTATAGGTC